CAGTGATTTAGGTACTGCTAAGTACTGCAAAAATTCTGCTTGCAAGGCTAGACTGAGCAAGGAGGACAAATTTTGCAAGAGGTGCACGTGCTGTATCTGTCACAAGTATGATGATAACAAGGATCCTAGTTTATGGTTGACGTGTAGCTCAGAGCCCCCTTTTCCAGGAGATTCATGTAACATGTCATGTCATCTAGAATGCGCTATCAAACATGACAGGTCCGGCATTGCAAGAAATGGGCTTGTTTCTCAATTGGATGGGAGTTTTTACTGCATTTCTTGCGGGAAGATGAATGATCTGATGAGGTAAATGCTTACTATCTGTTTTGTCTTCACCATCTTTTTATAAAGGTTCTTATCTTCATACATTGTAGTATAGTAGACACTTCATCATTATCTGCCCCTCATTAGAAACATTATTTCTATTTTTAATTGATTTGCTGTTGTATGTGAACAATTTGATAGCCAGACTGAGGCATGCTTTTCCTATCTGATGGAAAAGTCATGCTTTCTGACGTTTGATATAAATTTTTAGGTCTTGATAGTTTTCATTGGGTAAGGCAGTAAAGCTTTTCATCATTAGGCTTAGTGCACTCCTGTTATGGCCATCTCTGGGTTGTTGATCATGGATTTATGGAATGTCACAGTTTTTTGTGGTGGATGATCTGAGCATGGATAGGTTTAAAAAGATCTAATATGCTGTCCTCAACTTTATTTGTTTCTGTCTTCCACCAATTTTGTATCTCACGTAATTCCAAGTTCCATCTGGTCTACCCCGCTTACAGAGTATAAAGATATTGGACCAACTTTACCTCTTATTAGATTACTTACCCAATATTCATTGTTTGACCACTATATATCACGGTATTTGGAATTTTTCATGGATGATACTTGATCTTTAGTTTTAAATGCTGAGTCAATGAACTTCTTTGTTATCTCCTTGGTGCTATAGACGTCAGTTCATTTCTGCCATACCTTTATTTGGATGATAAAGGGGCATTTTTGAACATGAACAACCAGGAGAAAGAATGCTTCAGAAGAAAGTCAAAGTAGGCTGCTAGAAAGACACAGACTAGGCGAAAATGTAAATACTGCCTGTTGGTGGAGCCGTGGAGGTTCATTGAAAGAATGTAGGTTATGACTCAAGGTGGTGTTTGATGGCTATAGTAAATTTGTTTTTGCATTATTCATGAAAACTACAAACTGGTGAAATAATAAGGAACAAGAATGTTATGCTTTGAAGGCATCACTTAATCCAGTCGAGCAATTAATCCAGGAGTTTTTTGAAGGATTTTGTGAAAGGAATTAGCTTGCACTTCTGCTAGTTCTGTAGCACCGCCCACAAAAGGAAGGTTAGATTGAGATGTTTGGTGATTTCATTTGTTGAGGAGTTGGGTAAACAGCAAACTGTGTTAGTTGGCAACAACTATATTTCAATTTATGGCTTGAGTTTTAGTTTTAAGCTCCATTTTCATATATTTATTTTTCTTACTTTTATAAGAAGAGAGACTAATATGTTAACAACCAATGAAAGATTGAGCAACAAATGTGACTCTTGTGCCAAAATGATGCACTCCTGCTGGGCTGCTACAGATGTTGAACTTGCTGTAGTAGCTTTCCTTGCTACGATTAGTGGGTTAACTCAAACTTGATAAGGTTGAATGCAACTTTGCTGGCTTCTCTATGATGAATTTTCTATCCATCATCTTGCTAGGTGCTCTTATGAAGTGACAAGTCTTGCTTGTATGCCTGTAGTTCTGATGAATTCAGGTCTCTTTGATTCTCATCTGAATCTTGTGGACTGTAATTTTTTGTATGGCTGCCTTGTGTTTTAATTTGGAAATTAAGATCTTAGGATCTCATGATTGGACTAAAAACTAAAAGCACCATGGATTTCTTCTGATTATATTCTTGATAATATTTTCAAATTTGCAATAGATTGGCATTTAGTTATGGGGATAAATGATGTAAATTTCTGTGTTCACCATTTGTTATTAGGTGAATAGTATTCTTTGCAATTTGGCCTTAACATGGTAAGAAATCGGCTTATTGTTGCTGCATCTCGGTAGCCTTTGGGCTGATAGATGATCACATTTAAATGTTTGCCTAACTGCTGAAAAGGGATCAGATTTGTCATAATCATCCTGAAGGACTTAATGTCATTGACTTTTTGACAAATAATTTTTCATTTAGAATGTATTGGTTTCAATTGTTATTGTTATTTGCTTGTCATTGTTATTTTCTCAACAACTGAACAATATTCTGTGAAAGTTGAGGTGTCTAATTGTTATTGTTATATCTAGCTGTTGGAGAAAACAATTAACAATTGCAAAGGACACTAGACGAGTGGACATATTATGTTATCGTATCTCCCTGAGCCAGAAATTGCTGGCTGGAACAAAGAAATATTTTAAGCCTTCTGATATCATTGATGACGCCATAAAACTACTTGAAGCAGAAGTAGGTGCCTTAACTGGTGTTCCTGTTAAGATGGGTAGAGGTATTGTTAACCGACTTTCATCAGGTCAAGAAGTTCAGAGACTCTGTGCTTCTGCTGTGGAGCTGTTTGATTCAATGTATCATCAAACACCATTGCACCTAGGTAATCCAATATGTTTTACAGTTTTTTTTTTTTTTTTTTTTTTCCTTTGAAGAAGAATCCAATATGTTATACTCTGTTATTCTTTTGATGGGTGATGATGTGAATTCCTAAGCTTATCTGCTGTTGAATTCTGATGAAATAGATTTCATAATAGGCAATGACGTCTTTCTTCCATTGGCAGGTTCAAGAAAAATAGCTTCTAGTATGATCAGAGTTGAAGCTGTTAATGCGACATCTGTCATTGTGGTCTTGGGTCCTGATAGTTTATCTGAAAAGAATGTGGGTTACACATTGTGGCATCGGAAGGCTAATGACAGGAAAGGACCAGAACAGCCAACTTGTACATTGTTTCCTCCACAAACAAGGTTCATAGTCTCAGGCCTTTCCCCAGTGACAGAATATGTTTTTAGGGCTATCTGCTTTGATAACACCAAAGAGTTGAGCTCATCAGAAGTAAGACTAACTACTAGTATTTCTACCGATGAGGTTGCCAAGTGTTCAACTATGGAAAGAATTCAGAGCCCAGCAACCAACTGCAGCACTCTTTCTAATCCGTCTTCTGTGGAAGATGAAACAAACAATACTGCACCCTGCAGTAATTTGAACGAGAACAAAAACGAGAACTATTTTAATTGCAGTAATGATCAAAATCCTTCTTCTGCATCAGTTGAGGATAATGCAACGGGGAAATTTGACTCTTCTGATCAATATGATGCTGTGAAAGTTGATATTAAACACTCACCTGATGGTCAAGTAGGTGAAGCCATGAGCATTGACATTGGATTTAGTGGTCCTGAGAAGACCAATACACCTTGTGTGAGGCCAGAAACTAGCTTGCCGATAACTCCTTGCAGGCAAGAAAGCTCGAAAGAAGGCAGTGGGAAAAAGTGCCCCCTGAAATCCCATAACAAGGATCAAGATGGCAGGCTGAATAAGGAAGAGGCAAATGAAAGACGTTCATCCAAGAAAAGGAAGGTGGAACGGGAAAAGGAGGAATGTGTTGGAGACGACTCTTCTGAGAGTAACTTAGAGTACTACATTAAAATGATACGTTGGCTCGAATGTGAGGGCCATATTGACAAAAGCTTCAGGCAGAAATTTTTAACATGGTACAGCATTAGGGCTACCCCACAGGAAATTAGGATTGTTAAGGCCTTTGTCGATACCCTCAATGATGACCCTGCCTCCCTCGCAGAGCAGCTTCAAGATACGTTTGAGGAAATCATCTCGAGCAAGAAGTTGCCTGTTGTTCCCCCAGGATTCTGCTTGAAGCTTTGGCATTGATCTGCACCGTGCAAATAGGTAACTCGGGATGAAGGGTCCTAATTTTAGGGTTACCCATTATTTTTGACCTTGAGCCCAAACGGAAAGTCTCGGGTCATACTAATTCTTTTGGACCTCTAGGAAGCATGCTAGCATGCTGCATCCCCTGTCCCTTCATTATTATTGTTATTATTAACAGCCATTCTTCCATTGATAAATTATTTAACAACATTTGTCTCTCATTTATAAAATTATTAGCATTTCTGATTCCATTATGTAAATTTCCCTTTATAGAAAATTGTACAATTTGTGATGATTCTGTAAAATTCTGTACTTTCAAACGTCAACCTACTCAGAAAACCTGATATTCTTGATTTTCAAAGGCTTTTACTTGCCTTTCTTCCTATTTCTCTCTTCAAATCCCCCTTATCTTTTTACAATAGATAACCTGAGAGCTGCTATGCAGTGCAATGCATGTCTCGAACACCCAGGTGCGCTGGTGTTGGTCCTTCTATAGTCCCACGCCACAGCATGAGTGGCGTGAGTGTAAAGGGGCTCTTTATCTTATACACGCCGGTGTTTGATGTCATGTGCATGAGACGGAACATGAAGACATGAGTTGGATTCGCGCACTGCCCCTCATTGTGCATGCAATAACTATCAATATTCCATCTTCATGAGGCGTAAAATGTTCATTTGCATTAAGTTGGCAAGTTGTAAATCAAGCCATTATTATCATGTTGAAAAGTAAGCATTAGTCAGTTTATACTGTCATAAAAACTACACAACCTTGGCCATATTATGTGCTCAATAAGTTCTTCCTTTCAAAGTTTCAAGTCATTTGATAACGGATTAACAGGTTATCTGTGAGGGTGCTTTGAAATATTTCATGACGCGAATTACTCAACTTTTTATTCCTCAGCAACACACTCGAATGCATATTAACTTTACTGTTATTTAAGCAAACTGAATACTTAATGTAAATTCAGATACCTGTATATATAAATATAATTTGAAGTAATACCAAACTAATGTAATTATTTCAAAGGCAAATACCTACTCACAACATATATTATCTAATTTATATACATAAAACAAGATATCTACTAAAATCATAATGTAATTCATATCCATATCTATATTTATATATAAACCAACAATATCCTAGAATGAAAATCCAAGAACAAGCACAAGAGAAAGACGCTAAAACACTAGTAGTGAAAATGTTTATGTCCTATTGTAAAATAACAGACAAAAAACACTAAAATGTCAGCTTCCTGTCAAAAGCAATATTGTCAGTCTTACCAAAATATTCATATTCAAACTTTCAAAGATACCCATAATTTAACCCAAATTCACCTGCTTTTTTTTGCACTGATTCCCTCACATAACATCTCTTCTTTTTTCTCTCTCCTGAAATCATTCATTCTATGCCAAAAATTGGTGTCTGCATCACTGATACATTTTGTTTGGGGTTTTGCATTGTATGCATATTTGGTGCAACAATGTTCCAACTATTATTATTATTATTGCTAATAATATTACTACCACTAACATCACCATTATTGTCATCATTATTGTTGCTAATGTTACTTATACCTTCGTACCCGTCATACCCATTAGTCGCGGGGCTAACACCGTCGTTGCCATTGGTTTGTTGCTGAACATAACCGTAGTTTGTGTACCCTAGTGCACCCTCATTGTTCTCTACTTGCCCAAGGGCGGGCCAATTGTAATTTTGCGACAATGAGTCCGGCTTTAAAGGTATTCCTATAAAGTTGTGGTTGTAGGTGGTTGACAGTTGATGGTGAGGGAGGGCCGGTATTAGTGGCAACTCTGGCTTGATGCCTTCGAGGGTTTTGATTTCTTCGTGATCAGGTAACGATTTTGATTTGTTCGACAAACCGCCCACCGGAAGGTTGCTCGAAATTATGCTCTTCACGTCGTACCGGCTTATGTCGAAATTTGTCACGGCATTTAGGCCCCGGAATTTTATGGCTGCTATGTCATAGGCTTCAGCAGCCTCCTCTTGAGTACCTAGCAATGACAAAGAACACAATCACATAAAAACGTGTACTCTGTATCATGTATGTACAAAAAAAAAATATCGTAAAATTGATTAGAGGGCGTATCATGTATGTATAAAAAAATTTGTAATTTAATTAGAGGGCCTATCATTTATGTACAAAAAAAAATTTGTAAGTAAATTAGTTTCGCGAGCTTACTAAAGGTTCCAAGGTACAAGTCCTTGTTTCCGGCTACCCTTCCGATTCTTGCTTGCCATCTTCCATGCTGATGATGCCTAGTACATACACGCATGTTACAAGGAGAAAATACGTACAAATAAATAAACACAACAAATTGTACGTATCCAAATAATCCAATTACATATATCATATATGTATGGTGAACGCGAGTGCTCTAATGCGTAACCATATTTATAATACTACGTTTTTTCCTAAATGATGTCACATTTTTTGTAGTAGACCATCCAAAAACAGAGTTTAAATTCTAGATTGAGGAAAATTTGAACTTTCTCATATAACGTATTTGATGACACCTTCAACAATATCTTATTACGCATAAATAAAATTATAGTTTTAAAAACATAAAGGTTATTATAGTTGTAATTAGTTGAATGTAGCGTATTATTTAGAAACAAACGAAGATGGAAGAATGATTGGCTAATAGCCTAATGCAGAGACAAACAAAAGATGCTAAAAATGGTCATACCTTGTGACTCCTCTGTACATTGATGCTCCTCTAGAGAATCCACTACTTTTCCTGTAAACAAAATCACTATTGGTAAAAATGACAAAAATCATATGAATTCCTCAATAATCCTAAAACATATAGAATGCTAAATTATCACCTTCTCAGTGAAGCCACAAATTCCTGCCTGCTCATATCCTTCATTTGCTCTAGCTCTTTCTCATAATCCGATATCTAAATTCAAATTTGATAAAAAAAAAAAAAAAAAACGCAAATTCTTGTATCAGACGGCTGGTTTATTTGATGGACACATACACTCATACACCAAGTATTCGTACATTTAGTTAAGCAAAATACGTATAAAGTTACCAAGTATAAAAAGAAAAAGGCAACTTCTTGTGTAATTCGCCTTATTTATAATAATTTTTTAGTGGAAAATGATGGGGAAAAAAAATAATGCTATAACATAGTACAATAATTTAAAAACAAAATGTGCATACTGGAAAATTTGTGGTTGTAGTTGGACCCCAATATTTAAGGGCAGCTAAATCATATGCTCTTGCAGCTTTCTCTTCCTTATCATACCCACCTAATAAAATAGGAAGATAAAAGATCAGATAATTGAAAATCATAAGTTGTTAATAAGATCTTATATATTCATTATTCAATTAAAATAACAGAGATTTCATAAAGATTTTGCGCAACTTCTTTTGCAGGAAGAACACGTAAAGATTGACTGATCCATGCAAAATTATAATAACTAATTGCAAGCTAAGATACACTTGAATAATTGATTGATGAATTATTTCTAAGCTAAATTATTGAGATGATACAGATTTACATAAGTACATAACATGCCTTGACATGATCTCTTTTCTTCTTAGGAGAATACATAACTCTTAACGTTAACATTAAAACATGTAGAGATAATATGGAACAAAAATGCCCTAGTAATAATCCATAATACAGAGTTTTTACAATAAAACCGTATATTAGAAGGGAAAAAAATATGATTAGAGACGGAAAAAAATTTAATTTATTGTATAGTACTCCGTAATTTAATTTTCATTCGAGGCAAGTCAAGTTCATGATGTGTCATATCTTCTACACAGTATCATTCTGAAGGATGTGTTAGGCCAACTTATACTCGAATTAGTAATAGAATTCAAACATTGTACTTCGTAATATAGTAGATGATTCCGTAATTGAAAGTAAATATTGATATTAACACTATTATTACTGAATACAATTCAAGTTAATAATAAAATAGGGTATGCATGTATTTTTAAATTAGTCTATAAATGGCAAGAATTAATTAGAACAAATATAAAGTAAAGAGAATAAACTCACCTAAGTAGACTGTAGATAGGAAGAAATGATGAAACATGTTCGCCCATATCAGCAATCATTTGGCACGTAAACCACGGCCCCATAAATAGAGAAGCAACCAACAGAAATTAAATAAATATCAGGAATTAAATTAAATAATTAATTGAAAGATAATTAGAGATATTTGATTCACATTTAACACAATTGGATCATGTATAGGATAGCTAGCCATTTAATTATTAGAGGTACCACAAATTCTAGCCTGAAAAAGGCAAAAAAGATGAAGCCTTTTATTTCCACAAATCTTTAATTTATTTATTGTATCAATCAAATTAATTTAGCATGTGTTATGTACTTTGTATATAGTCCATATGATTTTTTTAGTACTTGTAAGTTGTAACCAAGTCATCAAATGGATTGCAAATAATTTTTCATTAAGAGTATCTTCATTAAATTATATCAACCTTTTATGTATTTAATTACTACTGAATATGGTCAAAGTTTTGTAGTCAAACTTTTGTGATTATTATGAAACGGAAAAAGTAATATTTACATAGTACAAATTATTTATGAGCAAATTAAAACCAGTTTTTATATTCAATTGTGAATAGGTTAAAACTGGTAAAAACTACACATACAATAGTTGTATTGCGATCCCTACATACAATTCTCAATTGTCATGTTTCTATTGGCTAAAATAATAAGCACAAGTTCCATTAAATTCAATGCATATTTGACTCTTAATTTTCTCTCATTTTCTGTTGAAGTATCAAATTCCTAATGGTGTTGTATGTAGGGACAACATACAATGGTTGTATGTGTATCAGCACTAAAGTGATCTTGAGTGAAAATAGGGTTTGGGTTCCAATGAATCGACTATAATGACCTTTGCTACACTTGTTCATGACTCAATAGTCATTAGTTCATTAATCAATACTCATTATCTTACACAAGTTCATGATTTAGATATAACTCGTACTCCATACAAGTCGATTTACACGGTGTAAGTTAAAGTATGAAGTTCTCATGTTCACATAAAATGATAAAAGAGTGTGGTGTATTTCGTGATTATGTCACCTTGTTGATTGTTAATGGCCTAATGAAGAAATTTGAATAACTGAGTAATTGGGATTTCTATAACTGGAAATTAAAATGTTTGGTCAAAATACAAACAGGATATAAGCCTAAAAACAACATGGTAAAAAAAGTACATGCAGAAAATACCCGCTTTTATGCACACAATTTCCGACACATGAAACATAGATTCGGGCTTATTCACCACTTTCATGTTACTCGTACTTTTTTTAAGTGCCTTTGTAACAATTATTTATAAATTATAGTCACTTACATATAGTTAGGAAATCATCGAGTTTCCTAATATAATGTTGATAATTGAATGATTTTATCGTAACAAAAATAAAAAGGAAATGACTCAACTATTACGATACAAGGAGTTTAGAATAAAATAGTACTTCATACAATATACGTACAGAGTAATATTTAACGAAATGCGATAAATTATTTTGGAAAGGATAAAGGAGGAATGAAATTACCTTGACGGCCTTTCCTGCTTTGGCCTTCTCTTCTGCAGCTATTATCCCACAAATGAGCTTCATATCTCCCTGTCCACCTATGCCTATAACAAAATATCCAAATATTATCCCAACTCTAATTTAACTACATCTAATTTAATTTTAGTTGTCACGTTACTAGTTCAAATAAACTACACCATCAAATAGATGATATACCGTGATTACGAGTACTACATCTAATTTAATTTTAGTTGTCGCGTTACTAGTTCAAATAAACTACACCATCAAATAGATGATATACCGTGATTACGAGTACTACAGCTAATTTAATTTTAGTTGTCGCGTTACTAGTTCAAATACCATCAAACAGATGATATACCGTGATTACGAGTACTACAGCGCAAGAATTAAGCCGACATGACTACGTGTTCACATAAGACACGTACTTAAACGTTTTGGTCCAATAAAACAATTTTGTACACTTATTAAAAAATGTCATACTTATTAAAATTCAAGATAATGCACCCTCTCTACCCAAAAAAATAACCCACTTAGGTAAATTGTAACACATAATTTTAGACTTTTAGTAGAAATAGTTACCGAGTTACACCACGGTAAATGGAAGTTCTTTGGCCAAACCCTTCAACAGCTTTCCTATTACTTGAGCTTGTAGGAGGTGCAGCAGCAGCAACTACAGCAACTTGTTTATTGCTAATATTATTGTTAACTAGGCTATGATCAACTTCATGCACTTGTTGTTGCTGTTGTTGTTGTTGTTGTTGCTCGTAACCGCCTCCGCCACCGCTACCGTTACTAGCAACTGTAACCGCTTCCGTAGTCGGAAACAACCCCACTTGCAACAATCCGCCACCCACGCCAAGGAAGGATAACTCGTGGTGATTTTCATTTTCATTCGTACGAGCACCACTTGCACCATCACCAACTAACAAAAAAAAAATTAGTTAGTAAAAAATTAGATGTAGTAGTCTAGAGTTACAGTAGCACCACGTGATACCGGAACAAAGTTGTACCACGTTACACGGTGTTACTGTAACACTAGATAAGATAATAATCCCTCGTTTATCAGTCTCATTTTACTTGCCCCATTTGATGACACCGTAAAATGAGTAATAGACGAGGGATTAAAGTTGTTCCGAAAAGTAAATATATTAGTAAGTACTAACCAGATTGAGGAGGTGGGATAAAAAGATGAGGGTGTTGTTGAAAAAGAGAAAGATGTTGCTGTTGTTGTTGATGATGATGTTGTTGTTGGTGTTGTTGATGTTGTTGTTGAGATTGAGGGTGATGAGAAGAAGTGGAAGGAGGAGGATGATAATATTGGTTGGAGAGAGAAAATGCAAGCCAACTATGATCTGGGGATGGTGTGCCAGAAGAATCCATTTTTTTTTTTCTTGGGTTGATGTAAAAGTGTTTGTCTTCCCAAAATCTAAATTGTTTTCAAAGTAGTACAACAAATTTTTATAAGCCCTTTTTTAGGTGATTTTTTTTTTTTTTTTTTTGAAAATATATAAAATGGTTTTTGTTTATTTATTTAATTGTATATTGTTGGAAAATGAAGTTGAAAAATGAGGAGAGAGAGAAAGGGGTGAGGTTGAAATAGAACACAGATATTGAGGCGGTGGACTGGGAAGAAGACTGAGTGTTTTTTTTTTTTTTTTTAAATGAAACTTTGCAAATGTATGTAATCAGCTCATGCTTCGAGATTATTTCTTCTTCTGCCTTTAGCTTGTTTTTGTATTGTTGTCACTCATACGGAGTATATGTTTATCATTCATAGGCTATACAGCATATATTTGGGGTCCATTTTATTTGAGTAGTTTTTTAATGGAATAATTTGTTTGACACATAGTTAAGGTCTACTGTATTCGAGATATTAGCCATTACACCGTAGTTGTTTGTATGAGCTGGTTTGACTAATTGGTTAGTTGTATGAATCAGTTTAACTAATGGCTAATTGTTTGTATTTATTGTCAAGTATAATTTACTACTCTCACTTTTACAATAGCAAAAATTTGTTATTATATAAGTAAGTGTATTTATTTACTCGTAATAAAGTAAGTCATAGGTTTATAATCTTCAAAGAAATCAAGTTAAATACGGATTTGGTTTTTGAAGAATTTGAAATTTTTAGATTGTTTAGTATTCTTCCCGTCTCTAAATTACAAACCTATTTCACTTTATTATGTGAGTAATAAATAGAGTATTAGAAATAGACTTCTAATAAAGGGATAGAAGAGAGTAATAATATAATTTCAATTCTTTCCGCACCACCATTATTTTCCCACTATTTACATACTAACTTTGACTTCATTAAATGTCATTATATTAATTGTTTTTGAGTTACTATATTACGGAGTATTATGTTTAAATATTGATTTTATAAATATAGAGTAACAAAATTAAACTTATTGTGTTTAAATATCGATTTTATTAAATACGGAGTAACAAAATTAAACTTATTATGTTTAAATATCGATTTTATTAAATACGGAGTAACAAAATTAAACTTATTATGTTTAAATATCGATTTTATTAAATACGGAGTAACAAATTTAAACTTATAAAGGGTCAAAGATATTTCGTTGGAAATTGTCACGGTCAAATTAAGGCTTGTATTGTGAAACAGAGTAAGTATGAAGTACTTCATAACTAAATCATTTAGATTTAATTTTTTTTTTTAGGAAATCATTTAGAATTTTTTTTATTTGAAACAATTTAGAATTATTTAAGTACACTACATGCACATCATCTACTCATTATTCAATAAATTAAGCTTTAAATATACTAATCATATACTCCTAAAATTTTTGCTTTTTACTCCCGTAAGAATTAGTTTAGTTAATACTCGTAGCTTCATATATATATAGACCATTTTTGCATGGTTCGAATACACAAGTACACAACTATATATTCTAAACAGTTGTATTACGTGGCTCCTTAGAATGTTAAAACTATATTTGAATTAAACCTTATGTTTGCTCTTTGCACTACATTATACATGCATGATCTCACTTGTTCAACGATTGACCGTGTTAGAAATTGGGTGTGTATTCTCACTTAACTGACTACATTTAATTAATAATTTATACACGCTGTATATATTAATCATCCACACAATAATATAATTAAACAGCCAACAATAATTAATACTAAAATGAAGTTTTTGTTTTTTTTTTTTTTTTTTTAATTTTTTTTTATAAGACTAAAATGAAGATTATATATTGTTTTACATATGTGCTTTTAGCATGACATAAGGACATAAGGAGAGCAAATCCGATCTATTGTACAAGTAGTATTTATTTTTAAGTGAAAACTGATAAACCATTAACATTTAGATTTTATAATATTAGGACGAGTTTATTAGCAAGTAACAAGTGTGTATAAATAAACTTATTTTGGAAGTTGAAAATGGCTTGAAACATAGAGTAGCATTTCAAAACCAGAAGCTGAATTTTTTTATCAAATAAAATGATTAGTAAGCAATTTGTATAGCTTATTACAAGAGTAAATAATTTAGCTCAATTAAAACATTTGATCATAAACTATTTCATGTTAATTTTAGCTGCTACGTTTTCATATGGTAATGCATCCATTGACTCGCCCCTATATATAGCAAGAACTAGACTTGGTATTCAATTTGATGACCTCTCTATTTAATCTGTCTGACCTTTCTAGAATTGCAATTTTCATGTCCACAATTAAGTATTTATCTCAATAACTTTGTTATCCTTTTAATTTTTTTTTTCTTTTAATCCTTTTTAACTTAGAGGTTAAAAAAATAATACTCCGTAATAAGTAAATAAAAGAACATTGTCTTGCATGCCGCATATACCTATATACTCCATTTCTTCCTCATGCATGTTCGAGTAAGCTTTGACTTGAAAGGATTCACTTTGATACTCTCGAGATTAGCTAAAAAATGCCTAATTAATACATATGTTATATTTCTAAACATTACTTATTCGAACTAATCTAATTTTATTTTTCCTAATTACAGAGTACTAAACATAGATATACTTATTTAGTTTATTAGTTGCGAATTGATTTTGATTAGCCATTATCTTTCTAAAACTAATTGTAACTAAACTTACCTTATACATTATACTTGTATAAGCTTATTTTTCCTTAAATAAGTGAAGAGGCAAAGTCGTACAATGGCTTATCTTAGGGTCGAGGCAAAGTAGGGCTAGACCAGACCAATAAACAAGGCGATCAAGGCAATTAAGCTAAGGCATTTTAAGACATGATTGTGAGAGAAAGACATGAATGTGATGCTTCAATTCGCAGTTCCAAGCACCAAGAAAGCCTCTCGAATCCCTTTGGGAACCCAACGAAGAACCTCAAAGCAAAAGAAATTTCAAACTCAAAATGTTCTCTAGAGGCTTAAAAAAGTTGAAGACTATATATGTAATTGGACTATTTATAGAGATTTCAAGATCTGGTGTCGAAAGCTCAAGTGATGGTTGAAAATGTATCCAACTATCAATCTAAGGGTCTTTAATGTTGTTTAAAACCATATTCCATCACTATTCAGTCACATAAAAGCCCGAATTCTAGGCTAAACCAGTGGAAAATTTTGGTGGCCTTGAATTAATAAAGATAGGTGTTTGTGTAATTAACTGGCTAATTGAATTTAAAGGCAAATAGGAAGGTTTTAACATACTCAAATGGCCTTCCAAGGTCTCATGAGATTTATGGGAAACACCTTGTCTCTTTTTTTTTAGACTAAAAAGGTCAGAAATTGTCTTAAAATTGAAGTGAATGGGGGGTGTCCCCTTACAAGTTCATAAAAGTTTATTTAAAATCATAATAGGCCCACCAATAGGTCTATAAAGTCTCAAGAATGAGTTTGGTTCAATTATCTGATTATTTCTGTTGTATTAATAGGCAAGAGAAGCACGAGATTGTTCCAATTACCAATTTGGCATCCCGAGACCATATTAAAATGTATTGAATCCTCCGTTAAATCACCACACGATCAATTAACATTGTTGATGTATGCATGAGGTATTTATAATTATATTGGTATAACACACACCATTATAATCAACCTATGACTTAGAGCCTGTTCTCATACGTTTATTTTTAATTCAGTTCAGTTCAGCTCCGCTCCTAATTTTTTTCTCTTATAAAATATTCAGTTCAGCTGATTTCAGTCTATTAGAACAGACCCTTAAACACCTTATTTTTGAATAAAAGTTTTGACTTCAATATAGTTATACATTGATTGGAGTCAAAAGTGAAGAATCTACTCAATATAGGACTCAATTGATGATTAACAAGTACATTAAACAAACAACTTACAAGTGCTTGATATAATACTCTAAGATTTAGTTTCTACTAATTACACTTTTTGGTCAAAAAATTGGTTGAAAGACAACATAATTGATTGACAAAGAAATTACAAAACTTTCTGCTGCATGGGTATTGTGGGCACATGAACTCTGTTACATCCATACGATTTAGCGGCCAATATGTTTGACGACTCTCGACTATATAAGCAATTGGATAATCTTATTAGACCCTTTTAGGGGACCAATAAATCAATCATAGTTTCCTTATTTTGTTTTCTTTTTTTAGGAAGCACCACCAATAATCATTGAACATTTAATTTATACACTTCTTAAACTTTTTGTTTGATTTAATTTGTACTATTGGGCCGCTAGCCTACATGTAGACGGGGTTTTGTTAGACTTTTAATTTTAATGTTCACCAAAAAAAAAAAAACACCACAAAAAGAAAATGTTTAATTAATTAACATGACATAAGTTTAATTTATAACTAAAATAAATTTTGACTAGTTCAACTAAGATGAGGTAAGATAAGTAAAAATTAAATGAATAAATCATACTCCAACACACTAAATTTGTGTTAGATATGTAAGATGTTCTCCGTATTGTCCAAGGGATAGAGGTGTTCAAATAAGATAAGGTAAAATAAGTAAATATTAGATGAACAAATCGTACTCCAACACACTAAAAATCGCGTTAGATATGTAAGATGTATTGCCCAAGGGCTGGAAGTTGTTAAAATCAAGCCTGGATAAGGAGTTGATGAGGTAAAGACGTGTATATTGTAGGCCTTAGTATGTATATAGGGATAATATTTTCGCATGGTTTTGTATATTTACTTTTCACATGTCAAAACTTATTCAAAGTTAAACTTTACTTATTAATAGAACTTACAACTTTATGATAACTTATCTAATCTAAATTTGATTTTCCTTCAAATAAGAAGATTATGGTGAACAGAACAAAACCTTAGTATGACGACGACTATATCTTTAAGTATCTCACACACACATTGGAGGATTGGCTTAGACTTTTCTGAAACTGGCTTCACCTGGTCCAACAAAGAGAAGGCAGAAAAGAGGAATTAAGGGCAAATTGACAAATGCAAGTGGGCTACTAAATAATGAAGGTTGATCCCATGCATATAACACCCAATATACTGGTCTATTGCAGCGGTGGCATGCTGTATTGCACGTGACGCCCACAATTTCATTCATATCACAATTTCACAATATTATCACACGTATTACCTCTTTTATTTGCCATTACCTCCCAACTCTTTTCTTTCATACAATTATTTGGACCATTCAACCTTAACCTACCTAATAAGTTGACTAAAATCTGGTATGTCTTACAACTCTCTTATACTATTGACTCAATATAACGGTCTTAATCTTGACATAGTTTGTGATACATATCTGTATTAGATAGAGAGTGTTAATTATTTCTTGAAGAAGGAAAAATACACAAAAAATTAGGACAATCTTCTCTTAAACTAGAAGTGTCGAAATTATAATGGGCATAGAGTAGTAATGTCACAAGAATGATTAATACATTCCTACTCTGCTACTCCGTGAATGGAAAACTATTGTACGCAGTATAAGCCTATTCTCACTTAACATCATGAACAAGTATCAAGCATCAACATTCAGAAACAACCTTGCAGAATGCAGATATACCAACTGTTAGGGAGAAACATGTATAGGTGAATAATATAGAACTAGCAGTACTTGGCATCATACTCAAAGCTCGACTAAGTACACTTTTTCCCATATCCATTTTTACAACTAGCTAACCTTGAACTAAAATAGGTAAAAAAAGATATCTCTGATCAATGACAAAAATTTACAAGGCGATATGTAGATAAAAAAGGATATAAGCAAACCCTTCAGACTATTAGAACCCCCTTCCTGTGTGAGCATTCGGGGATATCAAGCATTTCCAGTTGATTTGTAGTGTTCATCATCAACAGTTGAGTAGACAAAACCTTCAACCTCGAGAGCCTTTATTGATCCCCTGTCAGTTGCCCATTATGCAAGATGTTTATGTTAGAAATTTTACAGGGGCGGCAAATCACATTCTGTACATAGCAAAAAAACAAAAGCATAGAAACAGAAAAAGAACACAATACATGATCTTATCAAGTGGAAGATTTAGTCGCTGCATGAGCTCTTTAACATGCACCCCTTTTTCCTGTGCCCTGAAAGGAGAAAAGTATCAATGGATCAGCCATAGACAAGTCAAATACAAACATGAATATCGACAAGGCAGGTTAAAACCTACCGGCTGCCAATATTATATCACACAGAAAAAATAGTAAAGAAGCACATATTAGATAACAAGATGTAGCTTAGACTCTACTGCACCTTCCAGATACAAACTTAAATGGCAGGAGAACCATCCAAAAGTTCAGATAACATGATGTTCTTATGCCATATTATAAATTACCAATCAAGCACTAATTGGAGCACAAATTCTCTAAATACACATGTAAACTAAGACTCCACTGAAGAAATAACAACTTGAAAGTCAATTTTGGTATCACATCCAAAATTCCTCTATAATTATCAACAAACCACACTGTGAAGGACTACATTACTTCGATAAACATGGCAATATTTCTTCTGATCATCTTCTCCAGACATTAAAAATAATCTTATGAGGATAGCTTTATAGGGCAAGCTAAGCATTAATAAAACTTCTCATAAAGTTCTGTTCCTTCTGTAACAATTAATATAAAGACAACCTAATCATTCTGCAGCCATCTTGCACTCATATAGCTGATTCTAACAGATTGGGATGTCCAAACCACCTTGGCAAAAGTATGGTTGCTAAAATATGCTTTGCAAGTGTAATAGACTAAGTGTTGCTGAAAACAAACAAAATAGTATTTCGGCAGTGAATGATGGCTGTATGCATTGCAAATGAAGAGGCAAAGTCCACTCAGAGACAAATTTTCAGATTACAGGAAGTTACATAGATGCATTTCTATTCCAAAATGATGTATATTCCTTAGTTTGCTTGTCATGTAGTCACTGGTGTGTTTGATTTATGTGTTATACATATTGCTTATTGGTGTGTTCATGGACATGTAAGCAATACCAGTAGTCCAGTAGAACATGATGTTAAGCTTGGGAGAACATCCTTCCTAGAAAGCCAGTCTCCCAAGCCTATAATACTATTTAACTGGAATACTTGTGAATACTTATGATTGCGTAGGGCTACTGTCAATGCCCTTTGTCCAAAATGTCCATTTAAAGACTGACAGTACATAAAACAATATTGGTATGTACTTTTTTCCATTACTCCCCATGCTTGCTTTTTAAATCTTAGTCAGGCCATTCTGTCCCTTTCAGTTACACTTAAGATACGATATTACACATCAACACAGACAGAATAAAAGGGTGAAAAGCAGCATATAATGGAACAGAATAGGTGAAGTAAGCAATAGATGACATTATGACCATATGGAAGGATAAAGAAAAGATAGCTAAATTCCAAGTTGAACTCACAGGCAAGCAGGTTGCTGCAGATACTCCATCACCATTTGGTCAACATCCTTTAATTCGGAAAACTGTCCAGGAAACTGTAGCACGGCAAATCGAAGAAACTTAGAAGTAACCCAAAAAAAAAAAAAAATATCACAAAGATCAGACTATGCAGTGACCCTGAATTATACTTGATTTTGCTGGGTACCCTGGTATCCTCTGATGGGAGTTCCATTTACCGAAGACATCATTTGAGCATCAGCAGGAACACCAGTTGCCTGCAATGAGAGCATAGAAATGAGCAAAAATACAACTGTACTAATACAACCTTAGAAACAATGTATATAATACGTCATTACCTGCAATTTGGTACTGTACGTGTGAACATACATGCACTCTAGGTAGTGATAAGTAAGTTCATTAAAGTCAGTAACAGGTCTGCAATTACAGAAACACCACAGTTCAATCAAGGAATCAGACTTCAGAGAGCATGATGAGATAAAACAGAAATCATAAAACCCTTAAGAAAGATGAGGACATTGTTGTGTACAAATGGAAGTCTTCAAAAACCTGGTGCTTGAGACTTGCCATGCACCTTTTAACATCAAGAATCAATCGCACAATCCACCCACCCACTCCTCACCCAATGAAAAAAGTACTAAATAAAGAGGTACTAACAGAGTCAAACAAAGTAAAATGCAAATTTTAAAAAAAAATTCATAATTTTTAAGGCACCTTACAAAAGCAGCAAAGCATAATGAGTTGGGAGGCAATTTAGAGCACAGAAGCAGAAGAAATGCTACAGCTCAAATGAAAAGACATACATACAATCTGTTCTTCAATATATGAGAGCAAAGCCCCAAATGTGGCAATTGTTCAAATTGGAAATTGTTCAAATCAAGGCTAGAAGTTAAGTGACGGTATCAAAAAGGATAAATGCTATGGGCCCTATGTAATCCCTGGCCTCTTCTTTATCTCTCTCCAGCCTTTTTAACTTTAACACTAATTAAAAAGGACATAAGTTAAAGTCAGCTTGCCCTAAAATTTATTTCCTACTCGTTGACTAAAATACATCCAGGATTTCCCAAATAAATCCTTGATCTGAAGATCTATATGGGAGTTAGAAATGACTGAATATCAAATAGGGTATTTCATGGCATCAGTTATAAATTTTTTTTTCTTTTCATTCTTGAGGCCTGTAAATCTATAATTTGCAGAAATGTTCTGCAAATCTCAGTCATTTACACTATGTTTTGTACCAATATTTTTGGCATTTTTGTATTTATGTTCCATGAATCATAGACATAAATCACCAACTTACCACAGACCTATGTGAAAGAACCAAATTTAAAGATAAACATGTCAAATAGGTCACTTAGGTATAATCTAGCTGTTCCAACAAAACTATATAATAGAGTATAAAAAACATATTCTTGGGCTTCAACCATTAGCTTAAGCTTTTGGTTGTTGAGTTGGTCCACTAACATGGTACAAGAGCTAGAGTAACACAAAGGTCATGGATTCATATCTCATCCTATAACAGTATAGTATTTTTTTATTTCTAGAAATAGAAACATACCTTGTCATGGTTTCAAGTTAATTTAGAGTAGAGATGGCAATATAATCCGTATCCAACCCTAGGGTGATCCGATCCAAAGAAAAAAATCCAAGCCTAATATGAGAAAAAAAAAAAAAAAATCCGAATCCAACTCTGTTTTTTTAAAAAAAGACCTACTTAGAATCCAATTTATCAGATTCGACTGCATTATTAAAACATTTTTATGTACTTTGCATATTTTTTATCATATAATTAAGGTTTTATAGGTATTTAGCATTAGCTAATGATAATTGGGTCAGAATAATATTACAAGTCGGGATAGGAGTTAGATGCTTGGAATTTTGGTCGGATATATTCGAGTCAGATATCAGCGTTAGAGGCACATCAGAAATCTAACAGCTTATAGGATAGAAGTTGGATTATACATAATCCTTAATCCGAACTGTTGTCATCCTGGTTCAAAGTCTTCACCTTTCAAATCAACCCAAATAATCAACAACTCAAAAGTTTCATTACCTACAACTCTAAATGAATCAAAAATAAAAATAAAATACAATTATGCAGCAATAATGCAATATTAAGCTACATAAACAAAGGTGTCATCCCCATATGTCCATGAGTACCTCACATAGATCATTCACCCTTTCTAGTCCAATACAATACAATCCAAAGACTCAATGCTTCCATCTCAATTATCTTCACTTTCCTATATTTAAATAAGGGTCATGTTATTGTTGGATACAATATCATACACCACAATCTATTTGCTTTCACCTAATTTTAGACAACTACTCCCTCCGTCCCAAAAAGTTCGACCCTTTTGGCCTAATTTTAGTCCCAAAATGATCAACCCATTTGCATTAAAATACCCACCAATTACAACAATATTTGTGCAAAATTAGCTTCCCTATATAAAATTTTGTTTTTTTCATGTATTTTTAATACTCTATCTCTACTATTTTACAAACCCTGTGTAAATTTATCCTTCTAATATATAATTACTTCTTTTTATTTAACTTTCTTAATACCCGCAAAATCAACCCAAAAGGGTAGTTCTTTCAGGGACGGAGGAAGTATCATTCAACTCTAAATAGAATAATTCCATCATAGAGTCTAACTCTTCTTGTATTACCAGTATTAACTACACATCCACCTCTCAAAATTTTATTTTCGTCACATTTATCTTCCAAAAATGATCTTCCTAAAGAGCCCAACTCTAGCAAAGTTGGCTGATTGTGGTCAAATTTTATTCTAAATGCTCCTTTCTAATTTAGTTGAGAAAAAACATCTAGGTAAACCACTGATAAGCAGTTCTCCACCACCTTGTTTCACAATATTCAAATCAAAATCCTCATCTATACTAAAATCACACCCTAAATATACCATTTACGTCATCTCAAGTCTCCCTTAGGTCACTAGTCATGAGCTTCCAACCCTACTCCCCACAATACCAAGAATACTTCTCAATAGTACTAGCTCTAGATCCTTCCATTAGAACAATTTCATCTACAAAAACATATGACAAGGATCTTATAATGTAAAAACTGTCAACTCATCCATCATTGTGCAAAGATAGAAATAGAACTTAATGCAAATTGATGCAACCTAATGGTAATTAAAAATTCTTTAACACTTTTGCACCAAATTAACATTCCTCTCACACATCTATATATCCTTTCATCATAATTGCATCATACACCCTCTTTTGTTAATGCCTACCAAAGTACTTAGCCTTTAGTTACAAAGCAATGACTAGATTTAAGGAATTAACTTCCTAATTCCAACAATTTTTGGAGCACTAAGTTAGTGTTAATCACATTGCTTTCATCAACCAATACCTAATATATTAAAAAATTCTTCAATCATAAAGGGCTAACCCAAAAGAGCTTGAATTTGACTACGACAGCAATTTGCACCTAGATTACAAACATCAATACCTCCTGCGCTGCTGTGCTTACCCCACAAGATATATCATTCAGAAAAACAATTGCAGGCACATTGACAAACTGCAGCCTCAGTCAGTGCTTAAAACTGTCAGCAACTAAATTATTATAGGTCTATGATCAATATGTTTCTGTGATGGCAGTACCTTTATGAACAAGCTAAAAGATCAGCCTAAGGACTGAGAATTTAATAATCTCTTGTACTAATCTTAACTGAAATCTGATACCAACAGCATGACTTCAACCATTCCAAGCCTCAATTCTCTCAAGCTTTGTGCAGTTGTGTGACTTGTGTCTTTTAATTTGAAACTGAGCTAGGCAATTGAACCAAATAATGCAAGAAGCACAGCCCAAAATGATCAGAACCTAGACAAAAAGACTTAAATTTCGAGTTGTTGACACTAGGGAAGCTCTAAAAACTTTAATTTTAAAACATACTGATTTTCAGACTAATTTGCTGCAAAGTGTGAAGTTAGCATCCCTTAGCATTAAAAATAATTAGGCTGAATCCATTTATGTAAGAAGTCAAAAAAAGAGAAGCTAAACCAAATTACCATTGGATTAAGATGCTTGAACGCAGAAAAATGAGACATGGACACATGGGGAAGTATAGTTAAGGACGGACTTGTATTTATTTAATTAATTATCAAATACATAGTTTCACATTGTAATAATTCATATTTTCAAGTGTATCAGAAAGTCAAGCTGATGGAAAGAGGCCCAGTAATACAGGATTACAAGGGCAGGGGTATACAGCATGGAGGCAAAGAATTAATCCAGAAAACAAACATCGTCATATACCATCTTAGTCAAGCATCATTTGTACCTCCAGCCTAAATTTGAAAACTCTCTAGTCCTGTAACCTTACGAGAGGAGATAACTGATCCATGAGAATCCATCTCTCAATACTATGTCTATGACAATATGAGATCCACGGTGCAGCAATGAATCATTAAATCCACTTCTTGTACTATACGGAGTATGTTGTAAGAGCAGGAAAAAAAAAAAAAAAAAAAAAAAAAAAAAAAAAAAAAAAAAAAAAAAAAAAAACAAAAACAAAAAGGCAGCACACCAGTACCTCTGTGCAGTAACCTTACTCTACATGAACCAATTTCATCAAAATAGCTTTATTTTTCTATTTTTCCAAATAAAAAGTGCACATGCCTCGCTGAAAGCTTCAAAGAATAGACAATGTAATGCAAAAGTAGAATTGATCACTTCCAAAACCTAAAACTATATCCAAAACATCTCAGAACTTGTCCAAATGCTACTTCCACTCAATATCAATGCTGAAAGTACATGATTCCAAATTTCTAGAGGAAATCAGTCAAAAAGGTGAATTACACTCTCATTTCCACTAATTTCAGTGTAAGGTTAGCATCAATAACCTAAATACTTAACTTGTCCAAATAATTTTGACACAAAAAACAAGATTCATTATGTCTCACTCTTCCACCAAAGTATCAAACCATGAATATATCCCTTTCAGCTAAGACTAGAGGGAAAACTAACATACACAATATCTCATTAGCTAAATTCATTTTTCATCATTTACAACTTCATCTGTCAATTACGTGTTAACAGTCCCCGAGATGACTCAAGGTTCACCACAATATACCGTATATAAACATCACAGAATTGAATTAACATAACTTTCCAGCAAACACTAAGGAGTTCCACTAGAAACCTGACCACTATACTCCCTCCACCATTTTATCTTTTCATCTATCTCTATAGCCTTTACCTCATCCACTACTACTACCCCATGAAAAACCAGAGAACCCTTTCAAGCTGTCACAAAGATGAGCAGAAATGAGAACTGCAAGTCAAAAATGTGTCTTGAATATTGTAGACATCGATGCAATGTTTATGGAAGACAAAAGCAATCATACAATATATGAAGTATCAAGTAATCAAGCTAACTCAAACCAGGATGACAAAAAACTAAGTATCCAGATTACAGATTCTTTGCATACAACATACAAGTTCCAGATCTTATTTCATATTTAATGAAAAAAGAAACAATAAGAATTTTATACAAGCATACCTGACAGAAAAGGCCATCAATTGCTTTTTACCTTGAAACCCTTTCAAGTTTGCATAAATTCGTACATACATGCCATCCCTGTTATAAAAAAGAAAAAAGTGAACAACTACCTATTGTGTTACAGCAACCAATGTCATTATCAGAAAACACCAATCAGGAAGCTAAATCCAAAACCATTTTCCAAAATAAATATTCCTACAAAGTTGGTAACACTATACAATCATACCTCCACAGAGAATGGTTTCAGCTTTAGTAACACTTTGAAAATAGAACAGCATAAGGGAACATGTAGATTGTCTTGACTATCAAAATAACTTCTCACATGTATACAGCATATATCTATATATGCATAACTCAAATGCATAAAACAAAATTTCAGGACACCAAAATTAGGAAAAAAGTTTCATGCTTCATGAAATGGAGGGAGTGCTACACAAATTACAAGCAGTCAAGCAGTGCTTGTCATTAAAAAAACGCATATGACCTCTCATAATCTAGAATCCTAACGAAAAATACCGCAAGACTTAAAAGTTCAAGTAACTCACGCAATCTTTTCCATTTCCTTCGTGTCGTAACTATCATTAACCCTGTAAAGCCACAGATACAAATCCATAAAATTAAAATCATACTGTCATACATGTCAAAACTCACAAAGCTTATGAATCAAAATCTCACCATCTATGAACATTAATTCTCCCAGTTCCATCATCGAGGACAAAACCGACATCAGTAACCCTTTCAGTCTTGTTAAACACCAGCCCAATAAGCGTCACCTAAATCAGCCAATTGTCCCAACTTAACAGTCATTATTGAACTCAAAATTGCAACAAAAGCACCAAAATTTTAAAAACTTATAACAAAATAATCAACAAAAAGAACAACATACATTGTTAACATCAACACCATCAACAACAAAATTGTTAATATCATTTGAAGCTAAAAGTGCTTCGTTTATCTGCTTCACCGTTAACGGCACTAATGCCTGAGCATCACGAGTCTGTAACAAACATCAATTGATTCAAACAAAAACCCTAATTAGTCAAAAATCCCAATTTAACATCAAAATTAAAGACAAAAATCAGCTTAAAATTGAAATCAACAAAATAAAGGAAATGAAAGAGAAAGAGTACTTTGGAAGTAGTATAAGATGGGTCGGCGGACTGAGTAGCTTGACTAGGCATGAAACCACCGCCGGAAAAAGCGGCGTTGCCGTCGAATTGGCCGGAATACATTATTGCTGTAATCGTAGAAATTGAATTCTGGAAATGATGCAAGAATTAAAACCCTAGAAAATTGATTTGATGAATTGGGGAGAGAGAAAATGAGAGGTTTTAGCAACTGTATCGTCTGTAACTCTGTATGTGTGAGTGAGTGAGAGTGAAATTAGCATTTCCCGCCTTCTTTGAAGAGGGAAGTTTTGGCCTTTTGGGCTTGCCTAACACTACAAAACCCTTCTACTCGTGTTACGCAAGTTTTGTAAAAGATGGTTGACAAAAAAATTTGTGCAAAACATGTAATATCTTTGTTGATATTTACTTGCAATTTTGAAATATTTTTTGTCTCTCAAATAATACCCCAAAGTTGCAAGTAAATGTTAACGGAGGTAGTATTTCCTCTTTTTTTTTTTAAGACTCGTATTTTTAGCACTTTGACATTATTCACAAAGTTCATTTTGATTGGCTTTAGTGATTTTTACTTATTGATAACTCAAGATATTTGTAATTGAAATTTTACATTGACAAGCGTGAAATGAGAAGTGTTGCTAATAGAGGCGAAGCCAATAATAGAAATCTAAGGGGGGCAAGACTAGATGAAGTTTTAAAAAAAAAATTTAAAACCAAAAAAATAAAAAAAATGTGTTCAATTGGCGACTGGGAGTCTTACCATGCAAAACTCAAGCAACCAATTCGGCTATCATTGGCAACATAGTGTATACTGTATAAGCTAAATATTTGCTACAGTATTTATTAGTTTCTTTTGAGGGTCAGACTAGAAAATGCACATATCACCGGTTGGCCCATAAGGGGGTCGGGCCTCCACTAGCCCCCTTGGCTTTGCCCCTGGTTGCAAATTTTTTTAAAAAAAAAAAATAGAGGAAGTATATGTTCTTATACCAAACAAATGACACATTGATGCCCTATAGTCCTACATATGAGTAGTATGGGATAAGATTTACGACCTTAAACTTAGCATTCTCAACAGGTTGCCAAAGTGTTGGTCATGAGGAAAGAGACGTGCATAGAGGCGGGGCTACAAATACTAAAACTAAAAGTAGCCCAGTGCAACATTTTTAAATTGGGCTCTGTTTCGGGTGAAAACAATGGGACCTTGCCGAAGGTTCGAGGAAGTGGATGAAGACTTGTCCGGTCCAAGTGATGCTGGGCCGAAGGTTTCCTGCACAGCAAATACACGTAAAACTGGTCTCGGGTGTGGATCCGAGGAAGACCCCTCCGATGCCGAAGTCAAACAGTGTTTAGAGAGAAAAGCTATGCAAGAGAGTTAATGCTTGAGGCTTTTATTGTGAATGAATGATAAATGGTGCAAGTGAAGGCTTCTATACCTTAACATGACAAAGAGATGGGGATGGATGGGCCAGACCTAGTCGTGGGCTGACCATGACAATTTGGGCCGCTTGACTTCATGTTGACTTGGCTTAATGGAGACTTGGGCCTTGACCTTGGAATATTGAATCATTTAATGACTAGGCCCAATTGGCTTAATTGGACCCAAACAACTTGCCCCCCAGACCCGATTTGGAAGGATGACGGGTCGGGTATAGATCCAATAAAAGTGGAGGGAAGTAAATTATTTAATTAAATCAAAAGATTTAAAATTTAAACAGTCATTAACGAAATAACTGTAATTAGGATAATTAGTGGGAAGTTGAACGGATAATGAGCAGTTAATTGGAAGGAAATGTGTTTAACGGTTACTTAAGGAGGTTTTTAAGAGGAATTAATCATTTCGACCTTTGAAATTCCTTTTTCTGGAACTATAAGGCCGAATTTGTTCTCTCTCTCCTCATTTCTTCACCAATTCACACTCGAATTTCCACAGAAACACCATATTTCGCTTTAAAAACTTCGCGCAATATCCCCGAACTAAAGATCGGCATTTGAATATGTTGCTTCGACTGAATTATTCGGCGCATTTTGACCCATTTAAAGGTAAATTTCTTTGAATTTTCCTTGATTTTCTTGAATTTTTGAAAGAACTCCCCTTTTCCCCACTTTTCTCTTTCGAATTATACTATGGCTCGAGGAAGAGGGCGTCAACCTGGACGGCGGGGTCAAGCTAGGGACCCCCGGGACCGTGCCGATGTTTGGAATGGGGAACGAGTCGAGGAAGACCCGGAAAGGGGGATTCCGGCCGTCCCTCTGAACGCCGCGCCACCCCAGCAAGACGCCGGGGCCGATGATGCAGAGCAAGTAGAAGATTTGCATGCTATGCTCTGGGACTTGATCCTAGGGCATGCTGAGTGGCATAATGCCGAGGCCCAGCGGGCTATGGTAAAAAAATGCCCCTTACTCTTGGTGGGTTAGGCATGTCGAAGCCTATCGGTTTGCCGAACAAATAGAACTGCACTACGGCATTTTCGAGGAGGATGGGTACTGATGTCGAATGCCTTCGCCGACTGACAGAATTCATCGTCCCCCACCTGGGTACGTAGGGGTATATACTCGGCAGCTGCAGTATGGGCTTCGGTTCCCTCTATATCCCTTCGTCAGGGACATTCTAATCAAGTACAGGATCTCCCTGTGCCAGTTAACGTCTGTCAGTATTCGGCGGGTGATGACCTATCTCTGGGTATGTCGGTTTTTTGCCGTTGAACCGAACTTGCACTGTTTCCGAAGGATGCACCAGCAGGTGCAGAACACCCAGAGCGTATACGGTCACCATGGGCCAGGCTGGTGGCGAATCAAGAGCCATCCACAATATTTGACTATGTGGCCGAACGATTCTTCGGATAAGGATTGGAGAGGCCAGTGGATCTGGGTAAGGGTTCCCGCTGATCCGGAGCACCCCCATTTTTTCGGGGCTCCCCGTTATCTCTCCCGGCCTGATCCGAACATGCAGGATTTGGGCCCCGAAGACCCTGATGCCGCTCGTCATCCCAGCTATGAGCAGATGAGCTTCTTCGGGAAGCAGAAAAATCCTGGGGGGACCGGCCGAATGAAGTTCATCCCAACCAGATGGCTTCTAGATAACCATTACGTCTTCCAAGAGAAGATGTTAGCTGTTGTCGGCCTCAGCCGAAAGCACATAGGTGGTAAGTATCTTCAGCTGGGGCCGAGGACTTGTTTTAATTATTTTTTGCTTATTTTTGGTGTCCATTCCCTCAGTCTAACCTTCGTTTTGCCCTTTTAGAGCTGAGCGAGGCTACCTCGGGTATCGACTACAATCGGGTGGGGGTGAACGCTAAATGGGTCATCTTAGACCGAGCTCCAGCGATCACAGCTCCGAAGGACCGTCCGTTGTATTTGCATTCAACGGGCCTTCAGATCGAGGCTGCTGCGGATTATACCAAACAGAAGCCTTGGTGGGAGAAGCGAGATCCCCTGAGGCCCCTATTACCCGAGGAAGCACAGGCTGCTCAGACAGCCGAAGACGTGTCCAGGGCGATTAGTTCCTTGGAAGGAGGTGTCAGAACGTCTAGTGCTGCCGAGCAGGGTACTTCTGCATCCGAAGCTCGGCTGAGGGTTTCGGTAAGCTCCTTAGCTTTTGTTTTGCTTTTATTGTTTGCTTGTTTTTACTCAGGCCTTTGCTGCCCCCCATTTCTGCAGTCTGAGGAAGGAAGCGTAAGGAGAGAAGGGAAAGCTCCTGCTCGTCCTGAAGATTCATCTTCGTCTGAATTTGAAGAAATGGACGAACAACCCTTGGCCAAGAGGAGGAGGAGGATAGCAGTGCTGGGTCCTCGTCAATTTCAGACGGGGCTGATGCCTACTGGAGGCATACACATAAGGGAGCCTGATGAAGGCAGAGGCTCGCCGAGGGCTCCCCCTCCGCCAAAAAACCCGCCTCCTCGAACCCCTCCTCCACCTCCCGAAACTCAAGAAATGGAGGTGGACCAGAAAACTCCTGATCCGAAAGGGGGGGTTCAAGGAGAAGATCTGAATCAAGGGAGTGCCATAGGGCACTTTGCTGAAGCTGCTGAGAAACCCACTGCCGAAGGTTTCTCAGGTGACATTGAGAGGGAGGTTGACGCCTTCATTCGTCAACCCGAGGCAAGGGAGGAGGAAGAGGTCATTGCTGTTGACCCTGGTAGAGACCAGCTGGGCTCCGCCGAAGGGGAAAAGAGTGTTGAGCCGGATAAGGCTCAGGATGCTCCCTCGTCTTCCTTTCCCTCTTTCCAGTCGTTGAACTCTGGAGACCTGGGTTTCTCGGCCCCCCGCATCACAATCCCCGAACCAGTTTGGGAACGTATTTGGGGCCAGAACCGAGAAGGAGCTGCGGGCTACTTCAGCGACCTTACTGGTATGTCCGAGGTAGATCGAGCTCGGGTGTGGTCGCTGAAGGCCACTGCTGGAATGGGTGAGTCCAGCCGAAGGGTCCCTGACCCTGCCAGAGACAACCAGCGCTTGCTGATGCAGGTACTTAACCGTTTATGCTTTTTCTCTTCTTTCTTTCTCTCTCTTTTTTTTTTTTTTTTTTTTTTTTTTTTTTTTTTTTTTTTTTACTGACGTGCTCCTGTAACCAGGTTGTGCACAATCAAACTCTCACTGTAGAGCTGATAGACACCCTCCATGACAAGCTGGAGCATGCCTGGGAAGATGCCAAGATCGCCAAGGAAGAGGCAGGAAAAGGCAAAGTTGGCGGCGCTGAAACAGCAAGCTGCTAAAGAGAAACAAGCTGTTGCCGAAGAGTATGAAAGGCAGGATGCCCAAGCCCTTCAGACCTTCTGCCATGCCATGGAGACTGAGGTCTTCCCTACTCTAATGGCCGGGGAGAAAGTCATCAATAAGTTTGGGGCCTTCGACATTCCTAGCTTCAGGGCAGCCATTTCACGCTGAGTGGCTGCCGAAGCTGCCGGGCAGGTCCAGGAGGTGGAGCAGAGGCTGGAAGCCCTTGAATCCAGCAGGATGGCTGCTGAAGAAGCTCATCAGGCCAGGGACACTCAACTGTCTGCTGCCCAAGCTGATGCTGAGGACCAGGACCAGAAGCTGAAAGGTCTGGAAGATCAGCTGAAGGCCAAGGAAGACGAGCTGGCCCAAGCCAAGGTCGAAACTTCAAATGTCCAGCTACAGCTTGACGAGCAGAAGACTTCTTCCTCCAAACTCTCAGAAGAATTAGAAAAATCTAAAAAAGATTTAGAGGAGAGTCAAAAGAAGCTGGATGATGCTGAAGCCCTGCTCCGGGTTCGCCTCTACACCCAAGAAGAGTATGAGATGGGTTACATGAACGGGTTTAAGGTGGCCCGGAGGCTGGCTCTCCATGCTGAGCCCTCGCTGGACTGGGCTAAGTGCACGTTCTGGGTTCAGGATCCCGAAGATCCACACATGAAATACCCTACTCCTGCTGAGCATGAGATCCTACAGGCTGAAGCAGCCGAGGAAGAAGCTGAGCGAAGGGAGCTGAAAGCTGAACAGAGAGCCGATGATGCCCAGACAAGAACCCAACCTGCCTCCTCTACTGCTGGAACTGAGACTGCCCGGGGACCAGGCACTGCTGACCAGCCTTACCCTCCGGCTGAAGCATAGGAAATCGGGCAGTCGTCTTCAGAGTCTTGCGGATCGACATGTGCTTAACTTCAAACTTGCCGCTTTTTAAATCTCTTTTTGCCTTGTTTTTTGCTTTAGCTTACCTTGATGTACAAACAGTTTATTTTTGTCTTTGTACGTATTTCGGCAGCTGTTATTTTTCGCTTGTGGGCGGCTGCCGATATTATCTTTCTCTTTGTTTAAACACTTATGTTTGTGGCTCGTTATCCGAGCATAACTTTCATCTATGAATTTGACATTTTCCTCTTATTGCCTTGCTTTGAGTCAATTTTTTTTTGCTAAGTACAAAGCTTCGACTTAGAGGTTTCAGCTGAGGCAATCTGCACTTATTGTGCTTCCTGCCCCCTCAGAAATTTGAAGGCTTGATCTTCAGATTTTTGAGATCATTTTTGTTTTCCTTGTCTATTTTCTCAGTTTATGCTTTTGCTCTTGATTTTCTGTCTATCTAAAAATGGACATCTCAAACACAGGGCCAACCGAAGGCAGTGTTTCAAATAATGGCTATCTGGGATAAAAGGCTCAGTTAAGGCAATATCCCAGATTTGTCCATGGACTCATTGCCTTATATAACAAGTCTTACTGAGGTTTTCACCCTAGCTGAAAGACCAGAGTTCTTTAAAAATGCGAGTTTATCGGCAATCCGAAACCCGATGCTCTGAGGGCGAAGGTTTCGGACAGGGCCGAAGGAAACCCTTAAAGTGTAGATAGCATAAAGAAAAAATGGAAGAGTAAAGATTGCAAATGTTTGTAGAAAATAGTGGCTCGGAGGCCTTTCATTAATAATTCAAAATGTACTTACAAGGATTGTTCTGCCTCGAAGGGTTTACACATGATATTTTGTAAGTACATCAGCATTCCAGTGGTTTTTTAGCTCAGTTCCATCCAACTGCCGAAGTCGGTATGTTCCCGGCTGAAGCTCATCATAGATTTCATAGGGTCCCTCCCAAGCAGCTGAGAGCTTCCCATGAATTCGGCTTTTCTTTACCGCAACAGCATTCCGAAGGACGAGGTCTCCAATTTTGAGAGGCCTTGCCTGAACTCTTCGGTTGTAAAATTTGCTGATTCTCTGCTTATATGCAGCCATTCTGACTCGGGCCGAGTCTCTTACTTCGTCAAGGAAATCGAGAGATTCCTTCATAAGTTGCTCATTCTCGGCTGAGAAGTGGTGCACTCGCAGGCTTTCAGTGCCAATTTCCACTGGGATAACATCTTCGGCGTCGTACACCAATTCAAAGGGTGAATGACCCGTTGCTTCTTTTTCGGTTGTCCGAAGGGACCAGAGAGTTCCTGGGAGCTTCTCCAGCCACTTGGACTTTTGATCCTCCACCTTCTTTTTGAGGGCATTCAGAATCTGTTTATTTGCAGCTTCGGCTTGTCCGTTACTTTGCGGGTGGCATACTGCTGAATATGCCAGTTTGATGCCGAACTGATCTGTGTACCGCTTCAGCGGCAGATTATTAAATTGCCTTCCGTGATCAAAGACAAACACTTTCGGGATGCCAAAACGAGTGATGATATTCTGCCAGATAAATTTCCCGACAGTTTGCTCTGTAATGTTTGAGGCTGCTTCGGCCTCAATCCATTTACTGAAATAGTCGACACCAACTATCAGCCACATTTTCTGGTATGCGGCATCCGAAAATGGGCCCAGGATATCCAACCCCCATTGGGAAAATGGAAGCGGACTCAGCACGGGCTGAAGCTCCTGGGCTGGCCGATGGATGACTGGTGCGAATTTTTGACATTTTTCGCATTTTCTAACCAGCTCCTTGGCGTCTGAGATCATGGTGGGCCAATAGTACCCTACCATTAATGCTTTGTGGGCTAGGGTCCTTCCCCCAATGTGGTTCCCACAGATGCCGAGTTGGATTTCCCAAAGGATATAATTTGCATCTGTCGGCCCCACGCATTTCAGCAGCGGGCTTGAGAAGGATTTCTTTAGCAGTTCCCCCTTGAAGACAATGAACCTTGAACCGGTTCGCTTCAACTTGGAGGCCAGAATTTTGTCTTCGGGAATTTCTCCCCGGAACTTGAAAGCTAGGATGGGATCCATCCAGCTTGGTTCTTGGTCAACGCAGCACACTTCAGGTGCTTCGTCGACACTTCTTTCTCGGTGCACCTCCACATAAACAGATCGGTTAAGCTCAGTGAGAGTTAAACTAGCAAGTTTGGAGAGTGCATCGGCTTGTGCATTCTGACCCCTTGGGATCAGCTGAACTTCAAAAGTTCTCAGCTTTGCAATAAATGATTTGATCTTGGCAAGGTATGATATCATCGAGGGCTCTTTGGCCTCGTAACTGCCACCAATCTGATATGCAACTAGCTGAGAGTCTGTCTTCAGACAAACATGTTCGGCTTCCAACGAGATGCACAATTCCAGACCGACAATGGCTGCCTCATATTCAGCTTCGTTGTTCGAAGCCTTGAAGGAAAATTTTAGTGCATACTCGAAGGACTTGCCTTCAGGAGAGGTTATAACCACCCCTACCCTCGAACCATTCACAGTGGAGGATCCATCCGTGAAAACGGTCCAGGTTTTCTTTTCATTGTCTAGCCTCTCCTGGTACAAGCATTCGACCAGGAAGTCCGCCAGAGCTTGAGCCATAATGGCTGCTCTCGGCTGGTAGCTGATGCTGAACTCAATGAGCTCGAAAGCCCATTTGGCCAGCCTACCAGATTTTTCAACTTTACCGAGAAATTTTTCCAGCGGCTGATCAGTCAAGACCACTATCTGATGATAATCAAAATAGGGTCTCAACTTCCGAGCGGCTACCACCACTACATAAGCAACTTTTTTGAGTAAGGGGTAGCGGGTCTTGGCGTCGTCAGAGTGTGGCTGACGAAGTAGATCGGTTGATGTGCTTTATTTTCTTCCCTCAGCAGCACTGCACTGATGGTGGCTGGGCTGACATCCACGTACAAGTACAGGGACTCTCCCTCTACCGGGCTAACCAGCGTTGGAAGTTGAGCTAAATGCTCCCGAAGTTGCTTGAAGGCTTCTCTTTGCTCGTCCTCCCAGACAAGCTCTTTTGTTTTCGAGAGTTTCATGGCTTTGAAGAAAGGTAACCCCTTATCCGAGGCCCTTGAGATGAACCTCGAGAAGGCTGCCATTCTTCCGGTGAGCCGCTGAACATCCCTTTTTGTTTTCGGCTCAGGAAGGTCGAGCGCTACATGCACCTTAGCGAGATTGGCGTCAATCCCTCTTTTGCTGACCATGAACCCAAGGAATTTCCCTGACTTCACGCCGAAGACACACTTCTTCGGATTCAGCTTCATCTGGTGCTTTCTTAGAGTGGCGAAAGTTTCCGCCAGGTCCTTAACATGGTCTTCATCTTTTTTGCTTTTGACGATTGAATCGTCAACGTAGAGTTCCATGTTTCGGCCCTTTTTCTCGGCGAAAACTTGGTCCACCAGCCTTTGATATGTTGCCCCCACATTTTTCAATCCGAAGGGCATCATTCTGTAATTGTACACCCCGACGCTCGTGACGAATGTCGTCTTTGCTCGGTCGTCGGGGTGCATGAAGATCTGATGATACCCAGAAAATGCGTCCATGAAACTAAGCAAGGCATGGCCACTTGTCGAGTTGACTAACTGATCGATCCTCGGCAAGGGATAGAAATCCTTCGGACATGCGTTATTTAGGTCCGTGAAGTCAACGCACATTCTCCAGGTGCCATTTGCCTTCTGAACCATCACCACATTGGCCAGCCATTCTGGATACTGGCAGGGTTCGATGAAGCCTGCATCCAGCAATTTTTTGACCTCGGCTGCGATGTCTCGGTTCTTATTTGCGGAGTAATTTCGCTTCTTTTACTTTACTGGTCGACACGTTGGGTTGACGTTAAGCTTATGAGATATGAGGTCTGGGCTTATCCCGAGCATGTCAGCTGCCAAGAAAGCAAACACATCTCGGTTGTCCCGAAGGAGTTGGATGAGTTCAACACGGACTTTCGGATCAAGACCCAGCCCGATTGTAACGCATTTTTCGGCGTCTCCTTCGGTCAACTTGACCGTTTCGGTCTGCTGGTCCAGCTCCATTGCCGTGGGGCTGGACTCTTCGTTTTTTGGCCTGCTGTCTATGTCAGCAGGGGTCCCGGATTTTTTCTTCTTCGGCTGGCTCTCTGAGTCTTTCGGCTCAGATGATGAGCTAGCCTTTTCTTTTACTGGCCCTTTTCCTTTGGCCAGGTCTCCTTGGGCCGAAGCACTTAGGCCTTTCGGCTTTTTCGCGCTCGGCTGCCTGTCTTTGTCCTCCTCATCCTCGTCGTCCTCCTTTGTATGACTAGTGGATGGCTTGAGGTAGTTGCACCTTCGGGCCTCCTTTTGGCTGCCCTCAATCCTTTCGGCATCCGAGACATAGATCATCATCTGATGGTATGTCGAGACTACCCCTTGGATCTCGTGAATAATGGGTCTCCCCATGATCACGTTGTACACTGAAGGAGCATCAATGACCAGAAATTCGGTCATGACGTTCCTGGCTGCTTCGTCACAGCCGATGGTGACAGGAAGTGTTAACTTCCCGTCTAGATAAGTTGAAGTCCCATTAAATCCGGATACCGGGTAGGCTACCGGTGTGAGGTGCTTGGGGTTCAACTTGATTTGGTTGTAGGCCTTTCGAAACAAAATGTTTGCTCCGCTGCCACCATCAACAAGAACCTTGCTGACGTCGTGGTTGGCCACCGTGGCTATAATCACCAACGGATCCTCGTGAGGGTACGTCACCCCCCGACAGTCGGCGGATGTGAACGTCATGTTCGGCACCGGCGACTAGGGAGGCTGAATGCTAGCATTGTTCACCTGGTGGGTCAAAGCCGTAAGGTGACGTTTGTGCTCCCTTCGAGAACATATTCCTCCCGATATAACGTTAATTGGAGGAAATTTTCCCTTCGCATTTTTGTTGTTCTTTCGGGGGAAGTCGAGTTCTTGCCGAGAGTCCTTTTCGGATTTCTCAGCCTCTTTTTTCTCGCGGTGATCCG